GCGCCAGCCCCTTCTCTCCCCTTCTCCTGAAGGCTGCGGTGTGGCCGGCGCTGAGCCCCGTCGTCGTGGACAGGCGTCCTGGGCTGCGCTTCGGCAGTTTGGCTCTGGCCGTGTTTTCGGCGCGCCGTGGCCGCCCGGTACAGCCGAGGTCTCCAGAGCATCCGTTTCGTGCTTGCCTTGATCTCGGTGGGAGAAATGCCCCACCCAAGCTCTTACCTAAATGAAAACAGCGACTATGATGATAGAGGACTTTGTTCTTGGGAGCTCAAGCACTTCATGGTCGTGAGAACAAGCGTATTGAGAGTACTTGTGTTTTTATTAGGGAGGGGAAGTGGGTGCTCTTTCGTTTTATTCATCAACAGAATCCTAGATGGAGGGCAGGAGGGGTTGCTCAGAGGTAGGACACTTGGTTTAGGAGGTGTGAGGACCTGGGTTTAACCCCAGCCAGCAGAGGGTGAAGGGGTCTTAGGAGACAGTTTAGACCAGATTTGTCTGTTACTCTCCGTGGGGAAAGTGGGGTCCATGTCCAGTAAAGAGGAATGTTTTTCCTTTGTTGTTCGTAAATAGGTCAGAACTCATAGGGTGCTGGGAGAGTGGCACAAATCCCCCCAAAATGTCATTTTAAAATATATATATTACTCTTCAGCTGTGTGTGGTGGTGCATACCTGTAATCCAGCACTCGGGAGGCTGAGGCAGGAGAATCGCTGTTTGAAGCCAGCCATAGCCCGAACTACATCTCAAGACTGTCTCTAAAAACCTAAATAATAGGACTGGAGATGTTGCTTAGTGGTAGAGCACTTTCCTAGTATATATAATCAATCCCCAGCACCAGGGGGATAAAAAACTAAATAGAATATATTACTTGTACTTGAGATAGATGCTTCAGGTTAAATCAAAAGAGAGTAGGAGGAGAAAAGAGCCTCAAACACCTTTCAAGACACCTTTTTTATATCAGGATGATAATATAGCACCCTATTTACATTCTGAATCCAAAGCTTAATTATACCTCTGTATAATAAGAAACAACGTTTTTCGTGGCTTGTTTGAAGAATGGAATGATGTCTTCCAGTTGGCTGCCATTTAGTGGTTACGTGACTCACAGTGTGATTAGAGAAAGATGATAGATGTGTGCTTGAAGACAAACTGCGGTGCTCCACAGTACTGGACATAGCTGGGTATGGTGGTGCCTGCCTGGAATCCCGACTGCTCCAAGGCCTAGGGCAATAGGATCTTGAGGCCCTGTCTCAGAATAAAAAGGGCTGGGCCAGAGGTTCCGGATGTGGTGCTGCCTGTAATCTCAGCACTCAGGAGGCTGACACAGGATGTGAGGGCGATCTGGCTTTGGCAGGTCACCCCATTTATCACCAGGGTTAGTTCAGCTGATCTGGCTGGCTAGGTGGGTGTCCCCTTCCTCCCTCACCTCTCCATGTGTGTGCTGGTTCGAACAGGACACCACCCCTGATAGAGGCGGCCAGTTTCTTTTTCCTTGGTCAAGGGCATATAAGTAGCTGTGCTCCCCTACTACAACCTCCAAACAAGCTCAAGGAAACTGAGGCAGGAAGATTGCCACGAATTGAGACCCTGTCTCAAAAAAACAAAAGAATAATAACAACAACAACAACGGAAGTGGGGGGCTGGAAATGTAGCTAAGTGCAAAGGCTCTGGGTTCTATCCCCAATAAGGCTGGAGATACAGCTCAGTGAAAAGGCCAGCACTGAAAGGGAGGGATGGACAAAGATCCTAATCCTAGTCACTAGAGCACTGGGGACCTGGGGATGGATGAGGAAGTAGCTCACTTGTTACTGCCTCTGGTTTCCAAGCCAGTATGGAAAGGGAAAAAAATATTTTTACTAGTTCACCTGCTGAAGATACCAATTGGAGTAGGATAAAAGTCATTTTACTTAAATCAAGTGTGGAGGCACAGGTGGGTAGTCCCAGTGGGAGGCTGAGGCAGGAGGATTGCCCTGAGTTCCAGGCCAGCATAAACTACATAGTGACACCTTGCCTTTAAAAAAGAAAATCAGTGTAAAAGATCTGACTTTCTAGAAGTACTAGCTTTCCAGGAATTTGAAGCAAACCAGATTTCTCCTTCAGCAAATACTGTTAGGAAAATGGAAAAGAAGCAGAGGTACAAGCTCAACAGCATAGGTCTGTTTAAGAACAAACCTGAGAGGGCCAGTTCTAGCACTAGAGACCAGACCTGCAGCTCTCTGTAGAGAGAGCTCCTGGGGAGGGGAGCTCAGTGAGAGGGGCTGTGGCTCCCTGGGGAGAACAAGCTTGGGAGGGCTTGAACCTGGCTAGGGATGAACCACCTACTGCCCTGCCCAGCAGTGGCTGCATCAACGAACAGCTGGCTGACACTATGTGGGATGGGATGCCCAGGGGCAGCTGGGCAGGGAGAGGTGGTTTAAATGGGGTCTCTGATCAGGATGGCAGAGGTCAGATTGCTCCAGATACACCAACCTTCAGCCGATTGTGTGTGGGGTGTGTGTGTGTGTGTGTGTGTGTGTGTGTGTGTGTGTGTGTGTGTGCACGTGTGTGTAGTAGAGACTACAGCTAAAATTTCATTAGGATAGGTTAATCCTGTTTTGATCCAGCCTTTCTGAGCAACTCTCTGTAGGTCATTCTTTCCCTTATCATCCATTTTTGTTTTTTGTGGGTGGGTGTTTGTTTTTGAGACAGGGTTTGCTGTGTAGTCCAGGCTTGTGTCAAGCCCTAAGTGCAGGCTGATCTTGAACTCAGGGTGTCATCCAGGCTGGTGTTGAGCTCATTATGTAGCCAGGGCTGGCCTTGAACTCACAGTGAGCCTCCTGCTTCAGCCTCCCAAACGCTGGGATTGAGCTACAATCCAGCTTAATGACACAATTATATGAAAACTATCTTCCAGGTCTAAACAAATATATATGGAGAGAGGGAGAGAAGAATGGCATTGTTTTGGTTTTTGAAACCTCTAACCACTGGCTCCATAGAAGACAGCTCTGTTCTCATATTTACTTCTGCTTTTGAGCTATTGCAGTGTGTTCTTGGAAGGAATAGTTTTTCCTTGTCCCTTCCTTTCTCTCTCCCTCCTTGTTCCCTTTCCCATTTTTTCTTCCCATTTCCCAATACCTATTATACATTTTATTTTTTTATTCATTAAGTTTATTGGTACATTTTAGGTATACAGTATGATGACATTCATCATTGGGAACTTTTACCTTTATGTGACACATCTTGGTTCTTATTTTTTCCCCACGCCCCTGCCCTCCCTTCAACCCCTCCATCTGACCCTATTTACAAAGACCATTTCAATTTTTTCCTTTCCTATTACACATTTAGTCCTTATTTCCACTTTTTGTTTCTCACAGAAGAGAAGCAATTTGATATTTAAACGTGTGTCCAATTTATTTCACTTAAGAGTATGGTCTCAAGGTGCATCCATTTAGTTAGAAGCATCTCAAACATATCCTTTATGACAGGGATTTAGCTCAGTGGTTCCACTGCCTATCTTACAGGCGCAATCTCCCGAGTTCAATCTCCGGTACCAAAAAACACAAAAACATATCCTTTATGGAAGAGTAGTACTTCATTGTATTAAAAAAACAAACAAACCCCACTTCTTTATCCATTCATCTGTTGATGGGCCTTTGGGCTCTTACCAAGATTTAGCTATTAAAAACTGTGCTATTATAAACATGGGTGTGCATATATCACTGTGATACGATGCTTTTAATCTTTCAGGAAGATACCAAGAAGGGGAATGGCTAGGTCAAATGGAACCTCTAGTTTTAGTTTTTTGAGGAATCTCCACACTGATTTCCACAATGATTGCACCAGTCTACACTCCCACTGACAGTGGAGAAGGGTTCCTTTTTCCCCACAGCCCCACCAGCATTTGTTATTTGAACCCAGGACTTTACATATGCTAGGCAGATACTCTACCACTGAGTTGTGGCCTCAGCCCAACACGTGATTTCTTAGAAGTTGCAGTGAGAAATATGAAACCATGACCAGGCATGGTGGTGCATGCCTGTGGTGTGGGCACTTGGTAGGCTGAAGGAGAAAGATCACAAGTTAAAGTCCCACCTGGGTCACTGGGTGTCATGGTGCACACCTGTTACCCCAGCACTTAGGAGGCTGAGGCAGGAGGATTATTGTGAGTTCGAGACCAACCTGGGCTACATAGTGAGTTCCAGGTTAGTCTCAACTACATAGTGAGACCCTGTCTCAAAAAACCAAAAAAAAAAAAAAAAAAAAAA